TACATACATACATACATACACAACACACACACACACACACAGACAGACAAACAAACGGACGGACGGACGGACGGACGCACAGACGGACAGACGGTCAGGAAGCCAAGCTCTGGGTTTTGGAGGGGTGCTCGACTTGGGTCGAACATGAGCAGCAGCATACCTAACACAAGCAATGCCTGGCATAGGCATAGATCCCCGGCTGCAGTACCCTAAACCTGAAGAAGCAGCCTGTTGATTTGCCCGAACCGTAAACCGTAAACTGAAAACCCGAGCCCGTCACGAAACCAAGCTGTTGAAGACTCCGAAAAGGTTCGAAGCTCTGGAAACCATGGGCGGCCCAGACCCCAAAGTCACCCGGCACAATCCTTCTGATCTTTGATTGACCCTACGAGGTGCATTGAAGCCTTCCTCCTCTGCTTGAAGAGCTTTCGGCTCTTGCCCGCTACGGAAAGGATAACGGGAAAGAGCCTCTACAAAAAGAAGCCCTCGTCCCTAAGCCATCCTAAGCCCCAAACCCAATGCGCAAGCCGCAAATCTGGCAGGATCTTACAAAAGGCACCTTTACCGGGGGCATCTTCACGGCAGCCTGGGGCCTGTGAGATTTTGTCAGCTGCCTGAGGGTTTTAGACGGCTCAGAGCTCGGGGTTGCTGTATAGGTGCTTTAGAGGTTAGCGACTTGTAAGCTTTGACTTTGCTGATGGCACGTGGTGTTGGAGGTCCTACTGGTGGTGTCGTTGTGGTGGTACCCGTGGCAGTCAAGTCCCACGTATCGTGTACTTCTGCACCGTCACTTGTCCAAGTCGCCACTATCAATAAGTCTGTTATTGCCTATGCAGCTCATTCTGAGAGAAGAAAGCCTCGTTGTCATTATCGGAGATTTCGCGTCGCCTTCACAGAAATAATAGCAACCCTGTCCTGCATGATCCAGGTGGCTTATGCCGTGCTCCTGCTTCTGCTCATAGCAGAGCTTGGTGCCTTCATTAGGCGCGGCCAGTGATTCCATGGCCTGTCGAACCTCTCAGAACAACCCTCAATTCCCTCGTGTGGTGGATCGCGGTCAGAATCTGCAAGACATAGTGACACCTTGAAGCCTGCATGGAGAGTAGGCCTTAAGATTATCTTTCGGTTTCTGCTTGATGGGGAGCTGCGGTCGGTGCTTCCTGCCGTCCTCCCACGAGGAAAAACTACCAGACGAATATCGTCATGGACCAAAACAACGACGCTCGGTTGCAGCTGTTGGCAGGCGGCGTGTCTTGCAGCTTGCGGCCGCAGCTTGAAGCCGCACGAGTTAGTATCGTCTTTCCGTTCCCCCCTAGGTTGTGCCGTGTAAGCTTGGGAGCTTGCGAGCCAAGAAGACATTAGTCGCCAAGTTCGGAGCCTGAAAGCTGCGGCCCAAGGATGAATTGATTCAAATCAATTTTGACATTTTGATGTACGACTTGCCGTCGCTCCGGCCTGTTTTCGACACACTCGAGTACCTGTCAGGGGGAGGTGGCATGGGAGGGACCAAGTGCAGCTTGCTTGTTGTAGAGTCAGGAATGGGTTTTGCGTGCGGCAGGTGCAGGTATCTCAAGATTGGTGTTTGGGACAAGTTCGGCGAGGAGAAAATCAACAGTACGGATCAGCGGTGAGCTCAGGACAGAAGATCCCATGCCACGCGAAATCGGAAGAGAAGTGCCTTTGTGCAGATGTTGATACTGTCAGTGTGCGATACGACTCGAAGCCCCTGGACACTTGATGCTTACACCCAACTATCTGTACCGTAACGAAGAGTGCTGCAAGGCTCTGTCGCACACATGGTTTCCGTGTTTCCGCAAGATGCAGCAGTTCGTCGAACATGCAGACTAAGCGAAGTCGCAGCATGGACGAGCCAATCACATGAAGATTCATGAAGACGCATATGGGCACCATATTTACGACCTCACGACCTGATTTCAGCGAGCAGAGGATATTTGAGATCGCTTGTTGCCTATACCTGTCCGGGTTGCTTGATGCGTTCGCCAGCACCAGTTCTACTTTCTTCGACCATGAAAGAAAGCCTAGCATCCGAGTGCAAACTCAAGAGTTAGGAAGCATTTCAGTATTGTCACATCCTGAGGTTCCATTACATCCCTGTCGACCATAAGGGCCAGTACAAGGGAATGGTCACGTGCTCAGTGTGCCTTCCAGTACCGAAAGACTGTCATGCCATGAGTAGTTCGTATGTGGTCCCGTCACATCCCTACTTTATGGGTCTCGAGTAACTACTGGCAGGGGTGTAAGCCTCAATGCGGTTGTAGGCCACGCCTTCGACCTCAAGTCGTGCAAATCAATGACAGTGGCAACAACTTCTACCACCAGCACAGTAAGTTCAACTGTAGTGAAGTTTGAAAAGCTAGTAGAACTGTTGTCGAGTGCTGAAATCAATTGCGGACTATACTGTTCTTTGCAAAAAATAGTCCAGCTATACTTTGAGTCGGGCCTTGCAAAGATTGCAAGACCGAAACCCCAAGTCCTGCATGTCTGAGCCAGGCCTACACCAAGGAGGAGATCGCTCTCCTCGAGCAGGTGGGTGTAGCTGTTCGCGTGCATGGCTGGTTTTGGGTTTCAGATTTTGGAGTGTCGGGATTTTGGGTGCACATAGCCAGGTGGCTCCGGAAGGCTGATTTTGGGACGGGCTCGGCTGCTTCCTTGCATGGATTGGAGGCCGAGAAAATATTCTAAGACAGATCAATGCACGCAGTCGGAAGGCTAGTGATTGCTACGTGTGAATCGGTAAATCAGCGGGACAGCCAAGCTACGTGGAAAAGCTTAGTTGCTTGTTGGATTTCGTTGATGCAACAATCTCCCTGGTCTTCATGATGCAACGTGAACTTATCATCGAAGCTGCATATTGCAAATGGCCCAGGAACCCCAACCCTCGCGGAGTGGAGCGGAATTGACACGACTTTGAACCCTCAACCTGAACCTAGGAACCACTAAAAGCTGCTTCTGATATGCCATTGCTGCATTAACATTCTGCAAAACTCCAACGTGCTCTTCCTGTGGGGTGCCCTTAAATGGTTCGAGGTTTCGAAGTAGGTGCAGAATGCTATTCGGAATCGTAAATCCTGTACACTGTACACCAAACCCGTTACCCTAGAGTTCCTTCCTTTGCTCCGTCTTCCGAGCCTAGTGGCATCCCAGAAACCCCATCCCTCATAGAACCCTTATAGATCCCTTTACAGGAACCCTTGCAAACCCTAATCCTATGGATCCCTTTATAGAAACTCTTGCCAGGCCGACACCGTCAAAAAATTTTTTGCTTCTGTCGTAT